GGTACGTTTATGTATATATGCTGAGAAGATACAGGTCTGGTACACTTGTGTATACATTATACGTACCTCGGGTACATATCTGTAGTACCTGATACGACGTAACGACAATGACCCCTTCAGCGTAAGTGCGGGTGTGTGTGTGTGCAAGAGGAGGAGGAGGGGAGGAGGGGGAGGAGGAGGAGCGGAGAAGGTAAAAGCGCTAAAAGGGTCGTTGTCGTATCAGGTACTACAGATATGTACCCGAGGTACGTATATGTATACACAAGTGTACCAGACCTGTATCTTCTCAGCATATATGTACCCTGAGTTTACATAAACGTACCTGCCCCTGAGATGGAGATCAAATAAAGACGGTCATGGAGGAGGAGTAGGGGGTAGGAGAAGGAAGAGGAGGAGGAGGAGGAGGAGGAGGAGGAGGAAGAAGGGAGAAGGTGATGGAGTAGGGGAGGAGGAGGAGGAGGAGGAGGAGGGGAGGAGGGGGAAGAGAAGGAGCAGAGAAGGTGATGGAGATCGAATGAAGGAGGTCATGGAGGAGGAGGAAGGGGCAGGAGGAGAAGGATGAGGAGGAGGAGGAGGAGGAAGAGGAGAGACGGTGTTGGAGTAGGGGCAGGAGGAGGAGGAGGAGTAGGAGGCAGGAGGATGAGAAAGAGTAGGAGGCAGGAGGAGGAGGAGGAGGAGAAGAGAAGGTGTTGGAGTAGGTAGTGGAGGAGGAGGAGGAGGAGGAGGAGGAGGAGGAAGAGGAGAAGAAGGTTCCTCCCCCTCCTCCTCCTCCTCCTCCTGCCCCCTACTCCTCCTCCATGGCCGTCTTCATTCGATCTCCATCATCTTTTCCGCTCCTCCTCCTCCCTCTCCTCCCCTCTTCCTTTTCCTCCTCCCCCTACTCCATCACCTTCTCCCCTTCTCCTCCTCCGCCTCCTCCTGCCCCTACTCCTCCTCCATGACCGTCTTCATTAGATCTCCATCACCTTCTCCGCTCCTTCTTCTCCTCCTCCTTCCTTCCTCCTTCTCCTCTTTCCCCTACTCCATCACCTTCTCCCCTCCTCCTTCTCCTCCGCCCCCTACTCCATCACCTTCTCCCCTCCTTCTCCTCCTCCTTCTCCTGCCCCCTACTCCTCCTCCATGACCGTCTTTATTCGATCTCCATCACCTTCTCCGCTTCTCCTTCTCCCATCCTTCCCTCCTTCTCCTCCTCTTCCCCCTACTCCATCACCTTCTCCCCTCCTCCTCCTCCTCCTCCTCCTCCCGAACTCCATCACATTCTCCCCTCCTCCTCCTCTTCTTCCTCCTCCTCCTCCTCCTGCCCCTCTTCCTCCTCCATGACCTTTATTCGATCTCCATCACCTTCTCCGCTCTTCCTCCTCCTCTTCCTCCTGCCCCCTACTCCTCCTCCATGACCTTCTTCATTCGATCTGCATCACCTTCTCAGCTCCTCTTCCTTCCCCTCCTTCCCTCCTCCTCCTCCTCCTCCTCCTACCCCCTACTCCTCCTCCATGACCTTCTTCATTCGATCTGCATCACCTTCTCAGCTCCTCTTCCTCCCCCTCCTTCCCTCCTCCTCCTCCTCCTCCTCCTACCTCCTCCCCTTACTCCATCACCTTCTCCCCTCCTCCTCCTCC